GCATTCCATGGACAGAGGAGCCTATGGCCCATCTAGTCACAAAGAGTCAGACACGACTGAAGCAACTTAGCATGCACACGCATGATAGGAAAGGAGTCATAAAAGCCTACAGTGGTCCAGTTGATTTTAGAAAACAGACATCGTCCTCTTAGTGTAAAGCCTGGGCCTCTGGAGAGAGCTCTGACCCGGGATTGGGTCCCCACTGGGTGGTGGCTTTGGGCAAGTGAGAACAGGAGGACCTGGGCCAGTTCCCAGCCACGGCTCCATCAGCTAACGTCTGTGATTCTGTGACTGCAGACCAGTTGGTTCAGTTGACTAGGAAACCTCGATTCCAGCTGGCTCGCCCAAGAGTTGCCACGTTTTCCATCTTTGATCGTTGGATCTCAGCAGACTCGGTATAATGGCCTGAAGAGTGATCACTTGGCAGGAGGTTCACGGGAGCCAGAGGTGCCTAGGGTCTGATGAGTGAGAAGCTCTGGTGGCACCAGAATCCAGATCCCCACACCCAGAGCAGAGGGAGAGAGGAAGAAAGGCAGCTAACATCATGGAGCCCCCGACCCCGGGCCACCAAGCCTAGTGCTGTAGATCCACGGCCCCTCCCTTCCAGCACTCAGCAGAGAGCTGTGTCACCCTCAGTTAGGACTGGGCACTGGGGATTGGGCGGAGAACAAGGCGGTTCAGCCCCAGCGCTCAGGGAGCTCGCATTCTTTGGGGTGAGAAAGGACAAAAAACCCTCAGAGACTTAGCGACATTTGAGAGGCTGTGAGACCTAGTGACGGGGACCGAGTCCAGGCTGGGCATGGGGCACAGAGGCCTGGATGAGGAGGGGAGAGAGAACATTCCAGGCAGAAGGAACGGCATGTGCAAAAGCTCCAAGATGCCCAGGCATCTGGCCCCCGTGAGGTCTGGAGAGAGGCCAGTGGCCAGAAAGCTGCAAGCAGGGGCTCGAGGCTTTGGAGTTGAACTTGTGGAGGCTGGTTGCACCGGCCAGGTTCTAGCAAGCTTCATAGGTGATGGTCAGGGTTTGCTTTTTATCTTATAGGCGGGGAGAGAGAGGGTTATAGGTTTTTAGTAGGACAAAGATGTGATCTGATGTGCATTTTTAAAAAGATTACAATTCTAATAGGGAAGATGGATGAGGAGGGCAGGAAAGGAGAGAGGAGACCAGCTTGGGGCGGGAAAGGTGGAGAAGTGTTATCCTTCTTGTTTTTCAGATAAATTCACTAGATCCAAAGACACCTTAATGTTAGGAAAATACAGGTCATTCACCATGTATATGCTGTCTAATGCCTAATATCAACAATATATGGAGCCTGTATGTATATATAGATACACCTAGCACAGACCCAGTTTTAAAAGTGGGCAAGTGTCTTGAGCCAGCATTTTGACAAGAGAGACTTAAGTAAGCATCTGAAGAGATGTATATATAATTGGGGATCGGGGAAATAAATACAAGTCAAGCCACAGTGAGATACAGTTTTGGACCCATACGATTGGGAAGAAGCTAGAATCCTGTCCATACCTAGTGCTGGAGAAGACGAGGAGTCACACGATTTCTCAGGCATGGCAGCCACTCCAGAAGCGACCCTGGCCACATTTCCCCAAAGTCACACGTCTCACAACTCATTCAGTTGCCCTGCTAGGTCAGCTCCGGAGAGAAACACTTGCACGTGTCGACCCATGGACATTTACAGGAATGGTCACGGCTACAAGGCCCACAGAAGGAAGCCTGGCAGCCCTCAGATGCCCACCGCCTGGTGACTGCGTGAACGAGCCACAGTGCAGTCAGGACACGGAGCAGTGTGCAGCCATATCCTGTTCGGTTAAAAGCAGACGCCAAAGCCCAGACACTAAGCTGTCATGTTACACCCTTTTCATAAAGCTTTTAGGAATACATGGAGATGCAGAAAGCTATATTAAAAAGGCAAGCGGGGGGGGGGGGGGGACGACCATGGAATGCAGGTGGTAGTTACCTTGATGTGGGGGGAAGCTGGGGGGAGGGGAAGCCACAGGTTAGACACAGGTATTGTTGAGGTCTAACTCCCACTCAGGGGGCTTTATTCACAGCACAGGTGCTGATGACAGAATTTAAATTGCTTAATTAAATGAATAAATACAAAGGAAGGCCATGTATTGACCCATAAAGAGAATGTATCATATCCTAAGGATTCCCTGGTGGCTCCGTGGTAAAGAACCTACCTGCCAAGCAGGAGATGTGGGTTTGATCCCTGGGTCGGGAAGATCCCCTGGAGAAGGAACTGGCAACCCACTCCAGTATTTTTGCCTGGAGAATCCCATGGGTACAGGAGCCTGGGAGGCGACAGTCCATGGGATTGCAACTAGTCAGACACAACTTAGCTACTAAACAACAACATGGTTAGTTTAATTCTTTAAAAAGAAATAGGATTGGGAAGGAGAGAGAGAGAGAAAGGGAGGAAGGGGAACAGTAACTAGCCCGGCTACCTGGAACAGAGGCAGACCTCCTCTGTCCTGGCCTGAGCCCCTTGTTCGCCCCTGAGACCATTGCTGGGAATGATGGTCTTGTGGGCAAGGAGAGAAGGGGGCTGGGGGTGATCATTGTTTCCCAGAAGCTTGACTGGCACGGGCTATTTCTGCCTGGAACTGGCCTGTCCTGAACAGGGCTGGCTGGAAAAGGTCACAAATGGATGGGAGTCCGTTTTGCCATCGGCAGCAGTCCTTGCAGGCATGGCAGGAGGTGATGTAGGCCTGGCTGTCGGTGGGCTCAAGGTTGACGCTTTCCCAGGAGAAGGGGAAGCTGAATTATGGCTGCACCGAAAGCCCGTATCAGAACCATGAGGACAGGATGGATTGGAGAAGACAATGATCCGGATGTTTGGTGGGGCAGTAGGGGTGGGGGTGGGGGGAGCAAGAGGAAGCAGGGAGAAGAAAGGAGGAGGATTTGAAGGAAAGGAAGAGGGGGAGTGGAGTTAGAAGCAATGAGTCCACTCCCAGCAGAGGCTTTGACATGCAAGGGGAGAAGGAGAAAGGATTTGCCTCCTCAGATCAGGGCCTTGGGTCTTAGCATCATTTTCTGTAATATTTTGGCTTAATGGCTTCACGACTGTGTCCCAAATGCCAGCATCTCCCAATCCCCGTTCTACTACCACTCGCAGAAATAGAACACAAAAGATGTGCCTCCGGTTGACCAAATCTTCAAACTACCTTGGGACTTCCCTAGTGGCTAGGACTGTAAAGAACCTGCCTGCAATGCGGGAGATGTGGGTCCATCCCTGGGTTGGGAAGACCCCCCGGAGAAGGGAATGGCATCCCACTCCAGTATTCTCGCCTGGAGAATTCCATGGGCAGAGGAGACTGGTGGGCTGCAGTCCATAGGGTCGCAAAGAGTCAGGACTGAGTGACTAGCAACACTTCCAGGATCAAAATAACCTTAACTCTGGGAAAGATATGTTGTTCTTATTTTTATAATGTTATAATATATTGTCTGCTTTGCAGACACAGCTCACTCCCCCTCTCCCCGCCAAAATCAACTTTGCATTCAGACCTGTGTGACTTAGGGAGAGTGATGAGATTGTGCTCAGAGGGCTGACGGCAACAAAGAACACTTGAGGCTGGTGACCTCGCCAGTGACTTGAACTGCGAGCGAAGGAAGCCGACCGGGGAAGTTTCACGTTTCAAGAAGATAACGTGTCCCACTTAGAGCTCTCCCGTCAGATCACAGGGGCTGGATTTCTTGACTGGACATGAAACGTAACAGCCGTGGAGATCTGAACCTCCAGCCTGCATCTCTGGGAAGGACCGAGGCAGCGGAGACAACAGTCATTATTCAAGTGTAGTGAACAGGGGGCACGTGGGGCCTGGAGGAGGATGGTCCTGTCGAGACATAGGAGCACATGCCAGTGGTTCTAGGTGTATGTCTCGGAAGCTGCTCACAGCTCAGGAGCTGCCTTCCCGTCCTGGCTCCACCTAAAGAGGCCAACCAAGCTCAAACGGTGGCTCCCCATGCCACCCGCTGACCTCAGTCTGAGTCTCTATATTGGTGATTCACAAAGTACAGCCCACGGGCCGGCTTTGTAAATAAAGTTTTATTAGAACACAGCCATATCTGTATCATCTTTCATGTTACGACAGCACAGCTGAGACATTGCAACACAGTTCCTGTGGCCCACGAAGCCTAAAATAGGTCCTATCTGACCCTTTACAGGAAAAAGAAACCTGTCAACTCCTGACCTATATTATAAGAGAGTTAACCGGATTGTTACTTCCCCAGACGGGAATGCTAGCGCCTCAGGGGATACAGAGCTGAAGAGGAATAGTCCTTTCCACATGGGGTTGATGTAAGGATTAAACGTAAGTTAGGATTTAGACCAGGGTACATAGTGCAAATTCGCATTACTTCTATTCCTGTTACACGATCATTTGGATGTTGAACTTTCATTACCAGAACCTTTATTTATATTTATTTTTTTAATCTTAAAGAAATTAAGCTGTGTAACATTTAACATCTTAGGACTTAACACTCATATTTTATATGTATTTCATTTTTTGAAGTTTACTACTATTAATAATAGCTAACAGCTTCTTAAACACTTGTTATGTGTCATTGAGGGTTTTGAGAGCATCATAGAAAGTAACTCAACTTTATGATAGAAAGGGGCTTTTGGCTCCATTTTACAGGTGAGAAAACTGAGGCAGAGAGAGGTGATGTAATTTGCCAAAAGTCACACAACTGGTGAGTGGCAGGCCTGCATTTGAACTCAGGAAGGTCCATTGCTATGTGTCCTCTCATAAACATACATATGTTGACTCCATACATACATACATACATGCTCCAACTCTTTTTTTTGTTTGTTTTAATTAGTAGGCGTCTGTGCTCTTAGGTGTGGATGGTCTCAGAGATGCTGTCCAGGATTGGGACTCTGCACTACCCGCCTGCCCGGGCACACGCCTGTTTCTATGGGACTTGGGCCTGGTGAGGACCCGCAGCTCCTCCGGGCCCTGACGTGTTCTCTCCTTTACAGCCCATCCCGAGAGAGCCGCCCTGCTGTTCGTGTCCAGCGTCTGCATCGGTCTGGCACTCACGCTGTGTGCTTTGGTCATCAGAGTGTCCTGCACCAAGGACCTCCGGGAGCTGCAGCTGGCCAGGGAGCACCTGGTGCCAGGAAGCGACAAAGCCGAGGAGGACAGCCAGGAGGAGGGGGGCGAGGAGGACTCCTCTGACTCCGACTTTCCGGGGGAACTGTCGGGGTTCTGTAGGACTACATATCCTGTCTACAGCTCCATAGAAGCTGCAGAGCTGGCAGAAAGGATTGAGCGCAGGGAACAGATCATCCAGGAAATATGGATGAACAGTGGCTTGGACACTTCACTCCCAAGAAACATGGGCCAGTTCTACTGAGAGCCAGATACATCTTGACGTGAGCACACTTTCTGAGGAGGGAAGGTTCCAAAAGCCCCTCCAGCTCTGTTCCATTGGTACCTTCTGTGAAGGAGAATCTGTCATGCCATCCAATCCTGGGGAAGCCAGAAAGTTCTTAAAGGGACATTTCAAACTGTTTACAGCACATCTCAAAATAAATTGGAGGGGAGAAGTCTTTGTCTCCTGTTATTTATTTAAATTCATGTATATATGCTAACAGAACTAGAGTTCACATTTATTGAGCACTTTTAATGCCAGGCACTGTTCTAGTTGCTTTTCATGCATTAAGTTATTTAATACTCATGACAACTTCATGCAATGATGCTATCATTCTCATTTTACAGATGGATTTTTAGAAGATCTCTGTCTATTCATTAAGAAATTATACTAATATTCAAAATGGCAAGCATGAGTTGAGTGACCTCAGGCTCACTGGTGGTACTACGTTTGGAGAAAGGGTTGGCAAAAAAAATTTTAAGGTGAAGATAATAAATATTTTAGGCATTTCTGGTCAGATGGTGTCCACCACCACTACTCACCTCTGCCACTGGAGCTTAAAAGCAACCACATTTAATACATAATGGATGAACACAGCTGTGTTTCAATAAAACTTTATTTGTGGAAACTGAAATTTGAAATTAATGAAGTTTCACATATCATATATTCTTAATCAATTACTTTAAAATGTAAAAGCCATTCTTAGCTCATGGACTGTACAAAAACAGGCAGTAGACTGGATTTGGTCTTGATTTTATAAATAAATTATGGTTTACATGGTTCAGTGGTAAAGAATCTGTCTGCCAGCGCAGGAGACAATCCATGGTGTGTGTGGGGCGGGGGGGGGGGGGGTCACAAAAGAGTTGCACACAGTTTAGAGACTAAAACAACAATGGTTTACAATGGGGCTTCATTCATGGCTCAAATGGTAAGGAATCTGCCTGCATTTCTGGGCGCCTGATGTCCTCTGCTAGTGATCAGAAGTTGTTTTGTGGAGTTTGCTCAGCATTCAACTGTTCTTTCGATGAATTTGTAGGGGAGAAAGATTCCTCCCCCAGGAATCTGCCTGCAATGCAGGAGACCCAGGTTCGATCCCTGGGTTGGGAAGATTCCCTGAAGAAGGGAATGGCAACCCACTCCAGTATTCTTGCCTGGGGAATTCCACGGACAGAGGAACCTGGTGGGCTACAATCCATCAAGTTACAAAGAGCTGGACATGACTGAGTGACTAATGAATGAAGCACAAGCTGGAATCAAGATTGCCAGGAGAAATATCAATAACCTCAGATACGCAGATGTCACCACCCTTATGGCAGAAAGTGAAGAAGAACTAAAGAGCCTCTTGATGAAAGTGAAAGAGAAAAGTGAAAAAGTTGGCTTAAAACTCAACATTCAGAAAACGAAGATCATGGCATCTGATCCCATCACTTCATGGCAAATAGATGGGGAAACAGTGGAAACTGTCAGACTTTTTTGGGGGCTCCAAAATCACTGCAGATGGTGATTGCAGCAATGAAATTAAAAGACGCTTGCTCCTTGGAAGAAAAGTTATGACCAACCTAAATAGCATATTAAAAAGCAGAGACAGTACTTTGCCAACAAAGATCTGTCTAGTCAAGGCTATGGTTTTTCCAGTAGTCATGTATGGATGTGAGAGTTGGATGGTGAAGAAAGCTGAGCACTGAAGAATTGATGCTTTTGAACTGTGGTGTTGGAGAAGACTCTTGAGAGTCCCTTGGACTGCAAGGAGATCCAACCAGTCCATCCTAAAGGAGATCAGTCCTGAGTGTTCATTGGAAGGACTGATATTGAAGCTAAAATTCCAATACTTTGGCCACCTGATGCAAAGAACTGACTCATTGGAAAGACCCTAATGCTGGGAAAGACTGACAGCAGAAGGAGAAGCGGACGACACAGGATGAGATGGTTGGATGGCATCACCGCCTCAATGGACATGAGTTTGAATAAGCTCCGGGAGCTGGTGATGGACAGGGAGGCCTGGCGAGCTGCAGTCCATGGGGTTGCAAAGAGTCGGACACGACTGAGCAACTGAACTGAACTGAACTGAGTGACTAACACAAAATTTTTACTCTCTTGCCCAGTACAGAAAAGCTCACTGACTCCAGGCTTAGAGTTTAAGGTACTGAAAACAATTAACTGGATTTCCCCTGCAGTACTGTGGGCAGGGGTCAAGTGGAGTTGGTTTTCAAATTATAAACACGGATCCTTCCAGCTTGGGAGGTGGGGCAGGTGAAGGAGTAGAAGAAAGAGAGCCAAGGAAACAGATTCCGGATGGGAGAACTGGTGATGGTTTCCTTTAGACGGCTCCCCCTGGTGGACCGGAGGTTTATAGCGGTGAAGTAGAACAAGAAAAGGTGTTTTTTCTTTCTTGTCCCAGAGGTACTTAGAGCATAAAAACGATGGTGTCAAATCTTCATATGCTGATACCAACGAGGTCTCCCTCCTTATCTCACTTCATCATCACATCAGCCCTGCAGGCAGGTATAAATAGTTGAGGAGGCTGAAGGTTGACAGGTTAGGTTTTGGGGCCACGTCACATGGTCCAAAGTGCTGGCGCTGACTCAGCGGCAAGTTAAGGAGGAAATCCCAGCTGTTCCCTCAGTACCCCAGGTGTCAACAGATAGGATGGAAGGCATTTCCCCCTCAGTCCCCAGATCCTGAGGGTGGAAGGCCCATCTGAGTCACACAGAGGAGGTGGGTGTGGGGGGAAGGGCCTGTCTCTCATCAACCAGCCTGGCTGCCCGTGTCGGGGAGTGGCTGCATTTTGCTTTGCTTTGTTTCTTATAATTCAGTTTGCCTTAGTTCATTCTAGCTTCTATTACAAAAATACCATAAACTGAATGGCTTATAAACAGCAGAAATTTATTTCTGTTTGGCGGGCTGAAAGTCCAAGATCAGGGGGCCAGCAAATTCAGTGTCTGGTGGAGCCTGGCTTCCTAACTCATAGCCGGCCATCTTCTTGCTGGGTGCCCACATGGCAGAAGGGGCTGGGACTTCTCTGAGGTCTCCTTTGGTGCATGCTCAGTTGCTCAGTCGTGTCCAGCTCTTCATGACCCCATGGACTGTAGCCCACCAGGCTCCTGTCCGTGGGATTTTCCAGGCAAAAATACTTAAGTGAGTTGCCATTTCTTTCTTCACGGAATCTTCCTGTCCCACGGATTGATCCTGCATCTCCTGCGTTGGCAGGAGTCTAGCTAGTCTTATCCATGAGAGCTCTGCCATCATGACCTAATCACTTCTCAAAGGTCCCGCCTCCAAATAACATCACACTGGGTGTTAGGGTTTTAACATGAGTTTTAAGGTACACAAACGTTTAGTCTACACCAAAGTTGAAATTCATGGGAAGCAAAATTGACCATTTTAAGGCACACAGTTCAGTGGCTTTTAATACATTCACAATGTGGTAGGACACCACTTCTACCTAATTCCAAAGTGAAGTTGCTCAGTCGTATACAATTCTTTGCCACCCCATGGACTGTAGCCTGCCAGGCTCCTCTCATGGGATTTTCCAGGCAAAAATACTGGAGTGAGTTGCCATTTCTTTCTCCAGAGGATCTTCCTGACCCAGGGATCAAACCCAAGTTGCCTGCATTGCACCCTGACTCTTTACCATCTGAGCCCCCAGGGAAGCCCCTTCTACCTAATTCCAAAACATTATCAATACCAGAAAATAAAACCCACTCCCCATTAAGCTGTCACTCCCCATTCCCTCCTTCCTCCAGCCCCTGGCAATTACCAGTCTGTCTCTATGCATTTAGTTATTCTGGGTAGTTCTTATAAAGGCAATCACATATAAGTGGAATCTTTTGTTACTGGCTTCTTTCATTTAGCATAATGTCTTCAAGTTCATTCATGCTGTGGCATGAATCAGTACTTTCTTCCTTTTTATGGCTTTTTATCCACTACATGGATAAACCAGGATTTCCTCGTGCTTCAGATGATAAAGAAGCTGTAATGCAGGAGACCTGGTTCCATCCCTGAGTCGGGAAGATCCCCTGAAGAAGGAAATGGCTATCCACTCCAGTATTCTTTTCTGGAGAATTCCACGGACAGAGGAGCCTGGCAGGCTGCATTCCATGGGGTTGCAAAGAGTAGGACACGACTGAACGACTAACACTTTCATGTATGGGTGGACCACGCTAAGTTCATTAACTTAGCCATTTGCTGACGTCTGGGTTGCTTCCACTTTGGGCTACTGTGAGTACTGCTGCTGTAAGCACTCATGTGTAGCATTTTAACGGCAGTGAAGCTACAGGGGATGTCCCCAGCAGTCCAGTGATTAAAACTCCAATGCCTTCCAATGCAAGGGGTGCAGGTTCGATCCCTGGTCGGGAACTAAGATTTCATACACTGCTCACAGTGCAGCCAGAAAAAAGAAACGAGACTACATGTAAAAAGGCAATTGCAGATACAGTTGTTTAGGCATTAGGTGGATTCCATTCAACTAAAGAACTGGGACTGAAGGTGAGTCAGAGTGACACTCTTGCTTCTGTCAATTTCAGAATGTGCGTCTCTTACACTTTCCCGAGAAGGTGGGAGGGTAGGGCTCTGTCCACAGAGGTGTCATGTGCACAGGCTGGAGTGGCGTAGGCGGAGGCTGAAACCCCTCAGCACCTCCACGGGCCCGAGTCGTCCATCTATAACATAAGGGATTGGGAGAAGTTGACAGGGCGGGATGACTCGCTTTCAGTCTGTCATTAGAGATAAATCTCTTCCAGGTCATAGCAGAGAATGAACATATGGCTCCATTGTTTAAATTCTTCGTGAGAATTTTGTTCTAATCAAAGAGAACCCTTGTCCTTTTATTTTCTGAGCTCAGCAAGAGGCACTTCAGTGCTGTCTCGGCTTTCAGAACAGCCTCCCCCCATGGTTTCTAGTCCTAATTCCCAAGCAGCATCTTCTCTGACTCCATGAACCTAACTACCTTCATCTATGGCTCTGTGAGCCTAAAGAGAACATGG